AAGTTGAAATAAAACATATTAGATACAGACTAAGCTAAGTGACAAGGAACTTAAAAAAAAACTAAACAAAACAGCATTCTGCCTTTCATCCCGGACCGAACCGGACCGGGACAAGTCCGAGATGAAAGTCAGTCCCGGACCTCGAAGACTTCAATCTTGGATGCAATCAGTATTCAATCCCGGACCACTGAGGTCCGGGATTGAACACGAGATAGAATCTGAGATTGAAGCCTTCGAGGGATTTTTTTTCTCTTACAACGACAACGTCAAACTAAACCTAAATCTATATGGTCGCTTCAGATAGCGCCGGTCATGCTAATACAACAAAGAACAACAACTTTCTTACATTGTAAAAGATAGAAACTAACCTTGCAGCCTCCGAGATGAATCCGACGCTTACAGATGAGTGCGAAAGAATGATCTTCAGAAAAAATGGATGAGTGCGAAATGGATTCTCCGAGACGGGGATTCTCCGAGATGGGGGTTTAGGGTTTTACTTGGGATGGGAGTGCGACGAAACGTCCGAGACGAAGGATGGGGAGGGAGGGGATGAATTTTTTTAAAACAGGGGTACAATGGTAATTTTATTATGTCATATTTTGAAAGGGGTCATAATTAATAGAATATCGGATCACAAATTAGGTTTTTTAAAAATGAGATCATTTATGTAGTTTCAGTTATTGGAGGGGTGACAAATTCAAATTTCCCAAGAGTTCAATCCTCAAAGATTTAAAAGCTAAAATGGATAGGGTACGAAAATAGTACTAAATTGGCGGAGCATGAACACAAGGGGATGCTGCGTGCCATAAGAACTACCAAGGAATAAAATATTGCATTTCCGAGAGAAAACGAAGGAAAAAAAAAAGGATGGAAATTCGCCGTTGGACTGACTTGCACAAAAACGTGGTTTCTTGTCATCTCTCTCAAATCGCGTTTCCTTTCGTTTCATTTTGATCGTACAGTGGCAAATTTCCCCCGAGGAGCAGCTGCCCGGTTCACACTCTGCTTCTTCTTTTGCCTTCCAATTTCGGGATTTAGATGAAAATCTGCAGCAATCCATGACCACCTATGAGCCTTCCATCTCCCCCAGTGATAACCTGAAAGGTTTCGTTCTTGCCATGTGCTCCAGCGCCTTTATTGGGTCCAGCTTCATTATCAAGAAGTTGGGTCTTCGGCGGGCCGGCGCGTCGGGTTCTCGAGCGAGTGAGTTTTTCGCGATTTCATGCCTTCAATTTCTAGCTCGACCCCAATTTTTGGGTGATTTTTTGATCTGGGGTTCCTTCAATTTGGTGTTTTCTTTTAGCTGTGTGGTGGAGCGGGTTATTATGCACTGGTTAATTGGTTTCGTTCGTTTGAGTTTTCCTTGAATTAACATGTCGGAGGAGCTCATTTTTCTGGAGTTCTGAAATTCCAATGATTTGATTTTGTTTTGTGATTAATCTCAGCTGTTTATTTTGCAATTGGTTATAATTGATGGTGGTAAATTGATGTTTCCTTGAATACTATAGTGATGAATGTTTTCCTCCTTTTTGTTACTAATTAGCAGGCTGCACTGTTCACAGTGTTCCGCTTTGGGTTTATGCTGATGGAATTTGTCTGGTTAACGAATTTTAGGTTCTGGTGGATATGGGTATCTATTAGAGCCACTTTGGTGGATCGGCATGGTAACCAGTGAGTCTCGAATTTTCAACTGCGTGCACATGTAGTTTCTTTTTTCTTTTCTTTGCCCACCCCAAAGCTAGCTTCAGGAGACAGTAACGATTTTAAGTCATTAAGTTTTTAATTTTGGGCTTAAAACCAACTTTAGAAAATATCTTCAAACATTCCAAGCCCTTTCTAGAGCATCTTTGGGGTGGTCAAATGCAGTTTTTAAGCTAGCATATTGATTACTATGACCTGTGTACGATTTGCAGTGATTGTTGGAGAGTTTTCCAATTTTGTGGCTTATGCTTATGCTCCTGCCATTCTGGTGACGCCACTTGGAGCAATAAGTATAATTGTTAGGTAAATTATTTCTTAAAGAAGCTTGATGAGAATCTGAGATATTGACTTAGGATTGAATGTCTGGCCTTTTAATGTCTTCTTGTGTTTTAATTACTTTTAAATTATGCTTCCATATCAAACTGGGCTTTACCACCCAAATGATTTTCCTCTGTGTTTATTGTGGTAGCAGTGCTGTACTTGCACATTTTTTCTTGAAGGAAAAATTGCAGAAAATGGGTGTATTGGGGTGTGTTTTATGTGTCGTAGGGTCTACAATGATTGTGCTCCACGCGCCTGGTGAACGTACTCCGAGTTCAGTGGATGAGATATGGGAACTAGCCATTCAACCAAGTAAATTTTAACATTTTCTGTTCTGTGTTTTACTGCATGGAGCTTGTTTTTTTTATTATTTTGATGTGTTTGGTTCAGCTTTCCTTCTCTATACGGCCTCAGTAGTAGCTATTGTGTTGTTCCTGGTGTTGTATTGTGAACCTCGCTATGGACAGACAAACATACTCATTTATATCGGCATATGCTCCATAATTGGATCTTTGACGGTCAGTTGTTAGCCTTTTTGCATATCAAATCTGTCTCATGATTCATGATTGTGAAATTCTCTGTGAAGGTCTCTATTGTATTTAATTTAATGAAATTATGAAACTTATAATACTGTTGTTCTTCATTTATACTTGAAGGTGTTTTATGTTAGAGATCAACTTTCTGCGTCGGATTGCAGGTAATGAGCATCAAAGCTATTGGCATTGCAATCAAACTCACAATGGAGGGTTGGAGTCAGGTTGCTCACTTCCAAACATGGGTCTTTGTAATGGTTGCAATCTCATGCATAATTATTCAGTTGAATTATTTAAACAAGGTAATAAGTACTTCCATTCTGTTCAAATCTTATGGGGATAACTATGGTGTAATGTCATGCTGTGTGATCTTGTTTTATATCACTTGTATATGTATATATTGTATGGAAAATTCTTACCCATTTGCTTTGCACAGGTGTTAATGGCTAGACCAATACTTTAAGAAATCACGTAACTTTCATGTGATCGTTTGTGCCAAGTGTCCATCTTCCAAAACTTGGACATAAATATATCTTAAGGGCACACATCTGCCTAACACATGATTGAGCCGAGTGTGTTGTCTTGAATAAAGTAGGTGGCCTCTTTCTTTTTTTTTTTTTTTTTTGATAAGAAACTTTACATAGACAAAAAAAAGGAGGAACAACCTAAGGGCTGGGGAAAGAGGGAACCCCACCCAAAAGAGCTAAGTAAACACTTTCCAATTGTTCATGAGCAAGAAAATGTTGTAATTACAAAAGAATTTCCTGTAATTGATACTCCACCATGTAGCGGTGTGCTCTAAATTTCTACAAAAAATGTCAAAAGCAGAAGGCTTATACTCAAAGACTTGGGAGTTCCTCTCTAACCATAGGTGCCACAGCATAGCTCTCGAAGCACAATTCCACGTGAATCTTGCCTTTCTGGGGAGCATCCACCCATAAAGGACTTCAGAAAGCCAATCATCTATTTGCTTGGGGAGACAAAAAGACAAGCCAAAGAGATCCGCCAAAAAGTACCATCCCTGATGCAATGCATAAAGAGGTGATCTATGTTCTCATTACTGTTAATGCAAAAGGCTACAAATTGAGGGGGAGATCAACCAATTCCTGCACTTCTTTTGGATCAGATCATGAGTATTAAGGCTTCTATGCGCGAGAGACCAAAGAAAATCCTTAACCTTCTTTGGAGCTTTAAACTTCCATACTGCCGAAATGAGTGGGGCTTTCAAGGAGGCGTTACGTTCCACCATTTTCAAAGAAGCCGAACGGGTCATGAAACACCCTTCTTTTTATAGGGACCAAGTTATCCGATCTTCACCTTCTCCCAAGCGCACTACATCAATCGTGTGTATTATCTCAATCCAACTATTCACCTCGCAATCAAAAAGACCTCTACGAAGGCCTAGATTCCAATCATTCTCCATGATATTCCAGCATGCCTCAAATCTTATCAACTAAGGGTGTGCTTGGAAATCCTTTGGAATTGCCATTTTACTAGCTCGATTTGAGACTGACTGTTTTATGGAGTCTTTTGACGTTCGATTGGCTGAGTAGAGGTTGTTGCCTGATTATGGAGGAGACCATTCTTCGTGTTTGATAAGGGTCATGTCCGTTGGTACTATATTTTGTCTGTTGTTTTGTTGGGGATTGGTTGGAGAGAAATATGAGAATTTTTAGTGGTGTTGTGAGGTATTGAGAAGAGGTTCAGTTTTGTGTCAGATTTGATGCTCTGTTTCTAATGAGATTTATAACTATCCTTTAGGCCTTCATCCTTTAAATTGGAGTCCTTTTTTCTTTTTATAAAGGTAGTAAGTTTCTAGGTGTCTCCTCTTATTGGCTTGTTGATTTGTATGCTCCTTTTGTATTCTTTCATTTTTCTCTTACTGATATAGTACAAGCCTACTTGGCCAGATCTCCCCCAAATCTCCTTTACGAGTTCAATCCCTGTCACGCACGATCCTTCTATCAGATAACTCAACTTTTATCATAAAGAATCCTACGTCATTGTGGAATCTGTACACTAATCTAATTCAACTCTTCACCTTATAAAAAGGGATCTTCATCAACTATTTGAGGTACTCATTGTCGCTTGATATAGAACTCTTACCATCTTGTGCTTTTGTCATCACCTTTGACTTAACTTAGAAGTTACTCCAAGAAACAATAAATTGTAGTTAATTAGGTTCTCTAATTGTCATTTTTTTTGTCTTGCGGGCTATTAGATCGCTTGAGAAATTGACAAACATTAACATGACATTTACTTGATAATGTACCTCGGCTTAATCTTTTCTTATTGGGTCATAGGCCTAGCTCCTTTCATTTAAAGGTCCATAGATAAATTTCTCTTAGTAATGTACTTATTTTGATCCAATATAGTCTGTCATATTGGTATATCTCAAACTTCTTCCAATTCTTGACTGGAGCAGTATTCAATATAATTCCCTCTCTTCTAGGGTCAATAATTAGTAACTTTTTTAATGCAAGTGCCTAAACCATAGCATAGTTGAAACTTACCAGGCAAACCATCAATCTCACATGAGTCTTGGGCCTCACAATCATAGTATCATAAGATAAATAAGGTTACCATTGCTTGACGTTATCCAACAACATATCACTTTAGAGAAACATACAAATAACAAGATAGTGTGTACTAGATAATCTACCCCAAGTAAATAACTTCTTATCAGGTTATGGGCCCACACTCTTTATTTTGAAGGGTCGAAGATGATTTTTTCTCAATCATATAATTGGGGTAAAACTACTTTTGGCCAAGTGGAGGCACTTTTCAAAATTTACATGGTGTTTGGTTACATAGTCAAAAGTGATCTTGAAAAGTAACTCTTCAAAGCACTTAAGTGTTGGAGGAAAGCACTTAATTAGTGTTCTCCCAAAAGCTTGGGTAAGAGCTTCATTTAAAAGACATACTACCGATAATCATCCCAAACGTCACTTTTACTCTAGTCCAGTTTAGTTGCTCTTGTTGGACAGGGTCAAGCTCTTTCCCTTCAAGAACCCATGACTAAGGAACTGCATATCAACATAATACTCTCATGGGCTCTTATAATAAGGGCCAACAATTGATAAGGTTACCATTGTAAAGGCCAACATCCTGACATTCTTAAACCTTAGTCGGCCAATCGGTAAAAGCCCTGATTACTCAGCCTTGCAATCACGGTATTATAATGTTAGATGTAGTAGAATTTACTTCAATATCAAACACATTTAACCCCATTTTCACATTGAACAATATAAAATCTTTGTCTTATTTATCAGCTATCGTTCTCCACTCCATCAATGCCTGACATACCATAGCTTAATGTCCTATAAGCATAACTATCTAAGGCAAGGGTTGCATTAGTAAAAATGGAGTGAATATTTTGAAATGTTATAGTAATAAATCATTTTATGCAGTGACTGTAAATCAAACTAGTGTGAGTTTGATTTACGAGATAGGTAGGGATAATGTTAGTTTGTCTCTTGGGTCTCTTGGTGGATTTGATTTCAAAATTAGTGGATTTCTGCCTTGTATTTTGGCGTGGTTCTGTTATTGCTCTTCATTTGGATGGGTGGGTTTGAGACTTGTATTTTTTATTCGGATGATGGGAGAATTATTCCTAGTGGGTGATACTTTGTAAACTTTTCAATTTCTTAATAAATTTTTTTTATCTATTTTAAAAAAAATAGTAAATCAAAGGAAAATTATAATGGGTGACAAAATTGGTTGCCATATTTGCAAATATGACAATATTTTGCTTCGTATATCATTGATAAAGCTAATATAAAATATATTACTAACATACCATTTATGTGATAAAACTAAAAGCATATCGCTAATATAAAATATATCAATGATATACCATTTTTGTATCATTGATAAAGTCTATTACTGATATACCAATTTAAAGTACATAATCGATTTATCATTTATGTAGCATTGATAAAGTCTATCATTGATATACCAATATAAATTATATCATTAGTATACTATTTTTGTATCATTGATAAAGTATATCATTGGTGTACTATTTTTGTATCATTGATAAACTATATTAGTAATATAACTCATATGAAGTATATCACTAATATGTATACAGTACAAACATACGTATTATACGTGTATCACTTATCTACATCATTGATATATACATTCTTACATTTGTTCTATTTTTGTGAAATATTTTGAACAATTTTGCGATTACTTAGACTAAATCTGTTACTATCGCAAAAGCTTTGAACCAAACTAGCAATCTTGTATTATAAATGATGATGCACTTACTTCAAATAAGCTTAGAATTAGACTTCAAGTCTTTGAATCAATTGTCCATGACGCTGTTAGTTGATCAAGGTTGTAATCGAACTGACCGAGTTGAATGAATAGAGGCAAGATAAATTTGATATGTAGGAATTTGATCAATTGCTTGTAGCTTTGATTGATTGAGGTGTTGCTCATCAAAAATTGAGGGAAGGATCTTATTCTTTTTACTGCTTTCAAGAGTGAGAGGGTTTGTGATTGAGAGAATAGACTCATCACTTGAGGCTGTTTTAAAACTTAAGCTGGAAAAGATCAATATGGAGGGGCTGGTTTGGAAGTGGGAAGAAAGGGGAATAGTATAATAGAACTTTAAGAGGTAAAAGGAAGAGAGAGAGAACATAGACACACAGTTTGAGAGAGAACTCGAGAGAGGGCTTGATTTATTAGAATGACCTACCCTTACAAGGTGGTATAATTAGGTTTGAGGAATATGTTTTTCTAATCTTTATGGCTTAGGAGAGGATATTTTACTTGGTTTCTCTTCAACCAGTAGTTAATTTGATTAGTTTAATGGAAATTTGAGGAACTTTAATTTTAATATCTTTCTCATCAATAGTAATTTAATTCTTTGGAAATCCTTAAAAAACAGCTGAATGAAGAACAAAAGTCCAAATGATACAAGAGAAATAAAACATTGAAGAACAGAACATCTAAAAGAGAACATATCCTTTACTATTATTTTGCATAGTTTGCAAAATGGAAAGATGGACTAGTGTGTCTGTTTTGTAACTTACAACAATGCAATTACTGATAAAGTTGGATGCTTAACAAAACTCAAACTTTCGAATAGGGAAAATTATTAAATTCTCTTTTAAGATAATGGGGATTGGAGAGGTCATTTTTCAAATATGTACAGAATTTGACATCTCTGCTTCCATTTACACCAGAAACTTGTAGAAAGTTAATTTTTTTGGAGTAAATATTACTTTTTCCTGTCTCTTAATTGCTAGTAAGAGTAAATTTGAACAACGTAAATGATTTGCTCAGGCTTTGGACACATTCGACACTGCAGTTGTCTCACCAATTCATTATGCAATGTTCACAACTTTCACGATATTTGCCAGTGTCATAATGTTCAAGGTATTTCTGCTATAATTTTAAGTTTTAACAATTCTTTTTGTTCTTCCTGAGAGTGATTGATTATATGCTTGTTGTACAATTAGGATTGGTCTGGTCAGAGTGCTAGCAGCATCGTTTCTGAACTCTGTGGATTTGTAACCATACTTTCTGGAACTTTGGTCTTGCACGATACGAGATCAGCCAATCCAGCCTCTGTTTCAGGTATTTATTTAATTGGCAACTTTTAAACTGACACAATGCTAAGTTGAAGATTATTGATTGTCTAATATTTTTGTCATTTTCTGCTGTTACATTAATTGTTGTCTTGTCTAAATGACATGTTACTTTCATTCTAACAAAAATAAAATTCGAACCCATTGGCAACCATCAACGAACCAAGGACATTTGACTTGGGTTGAATATCTGCATCCAATATGAATATTAGGTACATGTAGGACATTTGTTAAGCAGAATACATAAATAAAATATTTTTTTTAGCAAATTGAATACGTGTCAAATACTTGTTGCATACGTAACGCTAGACACGTATAAAAAATTTGCAAACATAAGTTGAATATGTTTTGGACAATCGATTTACTGTTGTCACATTCTTACAGATATTTGTCATATTGTTGTACATACCTTGTAAAATTGCAAACATTTTGACCTTTGTGGAGTGATGTTTTCTTTCGAACAGAAAACACTGACATTACCTTGTTTTTAGGGTTAGTAGAAAATAGAAATCCTATTTTAGTCCATGAACTTTTATGTTTATTCAATTTTTGTCTCAAATGATCAGACCGGTTTTAATTTTTGAACTTTGCATAAAAAATTATTTTAGTCCTTTCCATTAATCTTTTAACAAGGCTATGTTTGATAACCATTTAGTTTTTAATTTTCTGTTTCTTAAAGTTATACTTGTTTGGTCCCAATTTCTATTATATGTTTTTACCTTTCTTAAAAACACATTTAAACTGTTAGCCGACCTTATAAAACAAAAATAAGTTTTTGAAAACTACTTTTTTTAATTTTCAAAATCTGGCTTAGATTTTGAAAACCTTTTCAAAAAGCAGATGCAAAATAAAGGAACACATGGGTGAGAGTAGTGTTTGCAAGTTTAATTTTTAAAAACAAAATGATTATCAAACGAGGTCTACGTTATTTAAGATACACACATCTTTTACTCATTTACTCAATTAATGGATTTCTGGATAGACAAATATTTGAAACCACACCTAATAAGTTAGGTATTGACCTTCCATGACTTAGACTTTTGTTTAATGATTAATAAAAAATGAACCATAAAGACAAATAGTTTTTTGTGTAAAGTCTAGAGACATGATATTCAAAAGTTTAGGGGCCAAAAATAAAAAGTAGATTTAAACCAAATTAAAGTCAAGTTTAAATAGTTAGACTTGTGACCAACTTCTCTTTTGTTTTAGCAATAATTCAGATTTCTCCTACAAGTATATGGGATTCTGTTTTACTTTTCTTGGGTGGGGGGGAGATGAAACATACAAAAACCACACAGGCAACTACAAGATGTTTAGTTGTGTACATTTCATATTCTTGTATGAAAAAAGAGAAAATTTACCTAAATATTTATTTTTGTCGATTTTGATACAGAGATGTACATGCCTGTCTCACCTCAAGTGTCATGGTATTTCCACGCAAACGGCGATACCTGGAAGCGGAAATCTGAAGAAATACTATTGCCAGATTTTGATGCAATTCTCAAACAAGACCATTTCACATGAAATGAAAGGTATCATTAGGTTCCTATTGCATCTCCACTGCACACAATTAACAGATGCAACCAAATTTTGGGAGAAATCTGCATGTAGTTAGTTTCTTACATTATTACTGAGTTATTTGGTAGAGCGGTTACAATGGAGTTTCATTTTCTTTCTCCGCTTGGCCGCTTGAGATTGAAGAATGGGTAGAGCTTGCAATGTAGTATGTTCTTTGTAACAATTCATTTGTTCCTGAATAGGTCACTGGATTGGAAACACAGCTTCTTCCCCTCTTTTTATCTTTAGGCCTCACATCTCCCCTCTCTTATAACATTATTTTGTAAAGTAGATCAAAGTTGTGGATGGAAAATGTAATCTGCCGTGTATTTTTTTTCCCTTGGCCAAGGAAATGTGACATATTGCTGCTAAAGCTGACTTTGAATGCAATTCCTATGTTAAAAAGTTCTGGTCTTCCACTGCTGCAGCACCTTTTCCATTAGTTGCATAAATTATTACATGGAGAAACAGGTTAAAAAATGTGGATTTTGGGTCGGTGGCGAAGTACTCATGGTGCATGGACGTGCGATTGGATTATGTTGTATGGTCGGTTATGTTGCAGGTCAGTTTTTATTGCACGAGTGCTAATTTAGATCAAGTATCTTGTATCTAGTTGCAAGGTCATGGCCAACAAGCAGCTAATCATGCTAAGAGTTCTATAAAACGTTCGTGATGGAAGAAATCGAGAGCTTTTGACACGAAAGTTAAGAGTTTTAATATCTTAACACAAGATCCATGGGGTGATAATTCTACAAGTAGAACACAAGGCAACTTAGAGAGAGAGCTATATATTTGCAAGGTGTAGAATATTAGTGGGATAAACTTCAGTTTGAAGTTGAGAAGCATAAGCTTTGGATGCTATGATGACATTGACAGTTTCTGTTGGATGTAAACCATCAAAGAAGACATATTTGGTTCTGTTTGGACAAGTTTGCCCTCCTTTTTTGCACAAAATTCCATTTCCACCCTCATTCAAAGATGGCACCTCACAACATGGCCTTCTTGCCTCCATAAAACCTGAAACCCCCCATTACATGTTAATTTAGATTAAAAGAAAATGTATTTTTACAATAGTTCAACTGGTTAAAGATATTTACGAAAGTATTTGTGTTGCGAGAATTAAGCCAAAAATATTTAATAAAGCACTTATCAATTATTTTTTGGAAAAGTACTTTCAAATGTTTTTTGATTTGTATAAAATTTTCGCCAAACATAAATATTTTGGGTAAAACGAGCTATTACCTATTTAGAAAGTATTTAATTTACAAAATAAATAAATAAATAAAGCGTTATGAAATATATTATTCACCACAATGCAATGGACATAATTTTAAATTCTTTGCCCTTGTTCCTTATAAAATCTTTCTTATTTTATTTCCTTTTTTTTTTAACTAAAAGATCATTGTGAAGGACAATTGAAGAACTTCAAACAAACCTAATATTTCTAGGTACATTCTCTTAGAGAAATCAAAGGATTACAATTTTTGCTATACCATATTAAAATAACATATTAAATTTGAATTTAGCAGAAAAACAAAAAAAAAAAAAGAAAAAATCCATAATACTTTCTTTTTTTTTCCCCTAAAACATTGTCACCTTCTTTTTACAAACAAAGTTTTGAAAATTTTCTAGAAATAATAAATTTAAATAATGGACTTAATTATGAGGGAGCCACATCCTATTCAAGTAATAAATTCAGGCAGGCACCATCAATGATCCTTGTCCTAAGCCACATGTCTCTCTTTTACAATACACTATTGATTATTTAATATTTGAAAAGAAATATCAAGTAATAAAAAATTTCGATTTTTAGATCTCATGTATTTTTATCATTTACATTTTATCTATCTATTTAGGTTAAATATGTACTTTTATCTTAATATTTAGGTGTTCTTCAAATTTTTGTCTCCACTGTTTAGAAAGTTTAGTTTAGATTTTTATGTCTTTTAACATTTTCCAATAAACTTACATGATTGATATACTCAGTGAATTAACAGCAATTTAGAAGAAGAGTTAGAAACTTCTCTCTTAGAAATTGAGTGTGAACATGCTAAACTTTACCATAAAATTCTCAATTAGGTTATTTCAAACAATAATTAGTTAAAACTTGGAAACAAAACCAACAGTTTATCAATAAAATTATTGTTTTAACATATTTGAATACATAGACATGTCACTTGTGTAAATAGGAATTTATTTATTTATTTATGAGCTAGTTGAATTTTATGTGTTGAGTAGGATATGAGTGACGTGTTCACTTGTCTAGATATGTTAAAAACTAAATTAAGATAATTATTTTTTCTATATATTATTATATTATATATAAATATTTTATATAATATTTATTAATTTTCTCTGTTATTTATTATTATCAATATCTTAGTCTTATTATCATCATATAATTTAAGATATATTATTTTTATGTGAATGATGTGAAATATATTAAATTTTTACAATACAAGCAGAGACCCCTCCCTCTAATTTATTTTTCTTTATTGTTAATGATACGTCAACTTTTTGTAAATATATTTTTCCACTAAAGAGTCATTCTAGACTTGTGACAGAAAGGAATTAAATAAAAATGAGATTGAAGGGACCAAAACAGATATTTTAAAAATACATGAACTAGAGCAAACAAAATTAGTTGTAAGTATACGAATCAAATGAACCACGATCGAGAATACAAAGATTAAAATGGATATGGAATGAGTAAATATTATATTTGTTGTACCTTTTGAGGAAGGGTGAGTGATGATGTCATTGAGAATGTTGTATGAATTAAGGAAGACAATGTTGGAGAGTGGCATTTGTGGGTTTAAGAGATCCACCAAATTCCTCAAGTTGAGATTGAACATTTGAGCTGCTTCATTTAGTCTTTCAATGCATTGGCCTAATTCCTTTTTTGCCCTCACCAACACCATTGGACTACACCCTAATGGGTTTACTGAAATCACCACCATTTTTCTTGCTCCCAAACTATACAACTTCTGTTTGGATTTCAAAACCCTCTCATCATTCAAATAAAATCACCACAAAATTGAATAAAGTAATATGTTTAGGCCCACGTGAGTTTAACTCAGCGGTAATTAACACCTATCTGTAACTAAGAGAACATGAATTCGAATCCCTATTTATATGTTTATGTTCGATTTTTAAAAACTTGAAAGAAGAAATAGAAAACGAAAAGTAATAATAGCGTTATGAAACAACCCTGTTAATAACCTATTTGGTTTTTAGCTTTTAAAAATTTAGACAAAGCATATCAAACTCGTTTGGAATATGCTTGGAGTAGAGTTTAGGGATGATTCTTAGACTATGCTTTCAAATGTAACATTTTAAGAAAAGCTTTTAATTAAGTGCTACCTTTAAAAGCATTAAATTGCTTTTGAGTGTTCTTAAAATTATTTTAGGGTATGTTTAGGAATGATGGTAAAAATAGTAATTTTAGAAAAAAAAAAAATTTAAGTATAATTGATTTTTCAAAATCACGATGTCTTAAAAATCAATTTAAAGTGATTTCAAACTTTCATAGAATCAATTTTTTAATTTTCCAAACATGATCAATAGAAGAAAAGTGATTTTGACAATGACAAAAGTGATTTTAACCATGTCAAAATCACTCCCAAACACACCCTTAAACTACTTTTGACAATATTGAAAATCCTCTCGAGAGCCGTACTAATTAAAAATTACCACTTTTGGAAGAAACACTAGTCAAGTGCTTTCTTACAAAAGTAGTTTTTGAGTATTTTGAAGTATTTTTAGAAATTTACTATGCAACTTTGCAAAATGATATTAGTTGGCAAAAGTTATCCCACTCTCACCTTTGAAGAAACTTCTTACATAATTTCAAATTTCAAATGTTATGTACGAAGTCTTATTATTAAATGCAAAATTAGAGGTAAAAGATATCTATTAAGGCATAGATTGAGAGCTTTGATAAAAGAAAACACACCTTGAGTTGACCAGAAAGGACTATTGTGAGATTGTTCGTGAAGTTCTGAAGACTAACTTGATCGTCGGAATTACTCAAAAAGTAGTTGAATGTGTAGTCGTTCCCTCCGGACCCCACCACAAACAAATAATTGTCCAATGGTGGGCCCCCATCATCTCTCCAATCCACCAAATCCCTCAATTCTGGTAATGTCACCTCCTCAAAGTTTCTGATTTGTTTATTCAAACTGATCACATTTCCCTGCAATTATATAATTATGACCTGTTTTTGGTTTGTTTAAAATTTGTCTAGTAATATACTAAATTTTATTTTTAAACTTTCAGCCTAATAAGTTATTGGATTCTAAAATATTTAATTTTATATTTAGCATGTCACTTATCTATTAGACATTTTTATAAAATTTATAAAATACCAAGTTAAATTTTGTGTCCAATTATAGATATTTTTTTTTTCAATTTTGTACCTATAAATCTCTAAAATTTTTAAAATTTTTAAGATTAAGAGATTTAATGTAAAATTAAAAGTTTAATGATTTATCACACACTTTTTAAAGTTTAAAGATATATACGATAAAATATTAAAAGGAGATGGAACGTGTATATTATAAAACTTTTAAAACGGTAGAGTAAACTTGTAGCTTAACTTATTTGGAATTATCTGCTCTCCTAAAAATTTTTCTTTTTCCTCTATCTTCCTAAATTTTAAATTTATTGAATCTTCTCTTTTTCTCTCACTCCTCCCTGTACCTTCCTCATAAAAGCTATCACAGTTTTGGAAATATTTCCATAACTACGGTATTTTATTTATTTATTATTATTTTTTTAAAAAAACTACCCCAAATGAAAAATTGCATTATTCCCACGCAATAGGTGCATTTCTTAAACTAAAATTCTTTATGTTAGAAATCTACCAAACTAAGACATACTTGAAAGAGTTTGGGAAACATAAGATTTAAATTTAAATTTAACCAAACAAGAAATAAAACGTCATTTTTGTCGGCCTAAGTCTAGTTCAACAGACATGTATCTCCCACCAAAATGTTGTATGTTCGAACTTCCACCTTAATATGTTGTACTAAAAGAAAGAATCGTTGTTGTTTAGGATATTGTTTCTCCTCACTAATTTTTTCAAATACATAAATTTTTGAGAAACAAGAAATAAACATTACCAAATTAGTCTATTATAAAAACGAGTTTTAAACCATCTTACCAAACGAGAACTTTTTATAATTTTTTCATATCTTACCGCAATGAAGCCGGTGTTGTCTAGAATGCCAGAGCCACCAGAAGCATAGTTGACGCCATGAACAATTTTTGTCCCCTTAGTTGAAGGGTCTGAAAATGGCGGAATCGAAGAAGGAAGGCCGAGATAATCCCCGAGAAGGTCGATAACATTCTTCCCGTTCGTAAACCTTCCCGAGGGACCAACATGAAAATCCATTCCATAAGGCAAATAATCGGCCTTAGCCGTTGAGTTCTCTAGAAAGTTATTGTTGCCATTGTCAACTAGAGAGCTCCCAAACACAAACATTCCCTCTATTCCTCCTCCAGCATCTCCCTTTCTCTCTCTTATTCCTTCACAACATGGGAGGGACAAGAAGAAGAAGACAATGAAAGAAAAGAACAAGATGGCTCCTAGATTTGTGTTTCTTGTCATTTTGAACACAAAAGAAAGTTGAAGAAAATGGAGGGTATGGTTAGTCTTTTTATAGGAAAAAGATGACCTATGTGAGGGAAAAGTTTCAGTATTTGGAGAGTATCATCTTTTCCCTCCGTTCATAATATAATTTTGTATTTATAAATATTTTTCTTTTAATGTTGGTGAACTTAACATAATTTTTAATATGATATTTACGTGGCAAACAGTGAATGAAAAGAGTATTATATTCTTTAGTACCAGAAACTTTCCCACTCATGCACCCATTGACACAACTTTTGCTCACTAGCTCAAAAAATTTGGCAATTCTTTGTTTTTTAAAATCAAAGAAAATATCTCCCCTTATGCGTTTCTATTTTTTAGTTGGTCAAAAGTTTAATGGTAGTCGGAATAAAAGATGGCTAAAAATTTGACAAATTTTTATATATTTTTTTAAATCTGAAAAAAAAAACATCTCTGTGCATTCTTCTTTCTTATTTGTCAGAAATTTAACGGTGACGGACAAAAAAATAAAGGCTGACCTGTTAGAGACTAAGAAGGACATGGGGTACTAGCTACCTTATGAATTTTGACTTGAGTGTATTGGAAAATTAAGAAGAGTTTGAAAGTCAAATACCCATATATGTATTTTAAACTGGTATTTTTTTTAGTATTGGTATTTTCAACCGGTATTAAAAGTATTTGTTGAGGAAATATTACAAATATGGACTCCAATAACCGTTAAAAAATGTTACGAATTAATTCTGTGACAGTTTTTAAAAATAGAATCGTCCGTTAAGAAAAGAGAAAACATGTCAGTTAGTGAAAAACTATTATTAATATGTTAACAATAAAAACTAAATAATGTCACAAATTATCTTCAATGACAATTAAAAAGTCACCTGATAGTTTACAATAGTCAATAAAACAGAAAAAAAAACATGTACATCAGTTGAGAAAAATTTAATGACTATCAAGAAAACTTTTATACTGATATAAATGATCTTGAATCTAATATGTATATATTGTTAATCGACATCGGAACGAGTCAAGATCGGATCGGTATCAAGTCGGGACCCATCAAAACGAAGAGGGATAAAAATAGATGAAGAAGTGGAGCTGCAGGCTAGGATGGCCGAGTAGGTAGTGCCGCGGCACTAGGGACGACGTCGCGGCATTGTCGCGATAGGGGGAGCGTGCGAGTTTGTTCCGTCCATAGCGCCATGGCGCTGTAGCAATGTCTAAATACAACAGTTATGCCGTTTTAGGTTCCTTGAGCCGTTTTGAGCTGAAATTTTGGGCAGTTTTGTGGCAGTTTCGAGGCAGAGGCTCAGGGTATTAGTAGAAGCGTTGAGGCAGATCAAAATTGATATATTTGGGATAATTAGATCTTAATTCTATTGTGAATTTTCATTCCTGTACCTAAGTAAATAGTATGTTATAATACTTAGAAGTTAAAAGAGGTTTTTGTTGGGACCTTTAGAGGGTGAATATCTGGGAGAGATATTTGAGTATTTTGTATCCAATCTAATATTTCAATGGAACACGTATCTGAACGGGACATTGGACGTAGCCCATAAACTACTGGAGCGAACCAGTATCTTGTGTCCTTTGTTGTTTTCCCTATATTTCTCTTTGTGTTGTGTGATTGACTTAGATAATTTCCCAAACATATATATTTTCCTGGAGTATTAGTGGATATTGTGCCACACACAAATAATCTAGTAGGTTGTTTTATTATATTTTATGTTATTTACTCTAGTAGGTTGTTTTATTATATTTTATGTTATTTACTCTTATAGCATAATTTTGAAGCTTTTCTTGTTATTATAGTAACTTTAGTAATTTGATATTTTGACATAATAAACTTTAGTAATTTGTTTTATGTGTTTAATTTCCATATGGTAGTTGATGGCCTACTCCTACCTTACACATTGAAGCTTGTTCAACTTTACAATGACATAAAATAATAGACACCATTGTTGAATGTAGTCCTCATTTTCAAGAGACAAAGATGAGCTGTCAAGAACGCAGAGGAGGTAGGATGGACGAGTGTCTCTATCAATTGTGGACAAGGAGTAAAATATGATACCTCTTTGACCATTTTTTATTTTTCATATATATGAATGTCCAATGTTTAGTTTGAGATTGTATAAAAAAAATGTTTAGTTTGAGATTATTATGGCTATAACTAAAATAATTACTTTATCACGGACGACGGATTGCACCTCTTCTTCCACAAAAAGAGTAAGATGTCTTAACTATTGAGTTATGCTCATCTGGATAATTAAAATAAGGGGCAATTGCAAATATGGCAAAAACATTTAGTAAAACTAACAAAATAGCAACCACATTCAATTTTTTCACATGTAGCACTTTTTTTTAGAAAAACGGAGATCCATGATATATATGTGTAATATATCTGTAATATATCTGACTTCTGATATATGGATGTGATATATATCTGATATACTACTGATATAAATGTCAGTACAATATGTATGTGATATACATCTGATATACTACTGATATAAGTATCTAATATACTACTGATATGAGTATCTGATATACTACTGATATAACTATCTAATATACTATTAATATGAATATCTGATATACTACTGATCTAAGTGAAAATTTGTGTTATATTTGAAAATTTAAAAAATAGGTGACATATTTTGAAATACGTAAAATACTTTTGATACCCACTGCAATTTCCCCAAAAATAATTGTTGACAATCGTACTTCTAGAGAAACCAGTTGTACCACGGAGTAAGTCAGTGTTCGTTGAATATTTCAATTTTAAACCTAAAAAAACTAAGTTGTAGTATTTTAATACTAAACTGTCATGGTTTACTTGTAATGACTGAGGTAGACATTATTTCAATTCATTTTATATTTATACTTAATATCTCAATTTATTATAAAATAGTTAATGACGATTTTATATGGTTTAAATTGCAAATGATTTTCTTTCCTCTAAATTATTTGATTAAAGATTAGGAAAACAAATTGTTATAAAAAATTGAATCCATCAAAATTTTATTCAAATTTAAAGACAAAAAATATATATATAAGAAAGATATAGGCGGAAAAAAAAACTTTATGGAAGATATATATATATATATATATATATATATATATATATATTTCTTTTAGTATACTAAATCGAGGGTATCAAGATTTTATTACGAAGGAAGATATTTATAAGTTTCTTTTCTATTTTTTGAAAATGGGAAGGCGAAGATATTTTGGAGAACTTATTTCAAGTTGTAATCTACAAGATTTTGCATACAGAGTACATTAGTAAGTTTTATATTAATTAATAAATAATAAGTTTTATCGAATAATTAGAGAGTTAAAATTTTCCTACAATTATTTTTAGCCCTTGTAAAAGCAATCCTAAACAGCTCCTAAGTTAACTTACATACACTTCGACTAATCTTATGAACAATTATTGAACCCTACAACACTTGAGTAAGTAGGCGATCACCGTAGAGTCAAAACCCTCTTCACTGGAATCTCGTCACTTGCCCTCATGACCACAAGGCCAATTCACTATAATTCTTCTTAACTTGTAGTTCACTCAAACATTTTATCGAAAACACTTGTGAGTACTCCTTTAATACCTACATTTTTTATTTACATTAAAATTTTTGTTCACCATTCTTGAATGGTGCTAACATGAGTTACTGATCGTCGTATAGTTTGGATTTTATTGAAATTTTGTATGGACACTTGACCAAATTCCCCATAATTTGGGATTTTGACAAATGGTATTAATTTTTGAGGGTAAAAAGAGAGAGGGAAATAGGAAGAGAAATGTGACATACATTCAATAGATGAAACCACCCCAACTAACTACCTCTGTGCAGTTATTAATACTGGAAATTGGACTGTGTCAGCCTTGCAGGAGCCACCCCATTGCGTGGAAAAACGAGCTTCTTCCACGACAACGGGACGGTTACGATATTTTTTCAATTGAGTATCTTACATTTTAATAATTTTTATCCAATCTCTTATATCAATAAATGTTAAAATTGATTGATGATAAATTTATTTGACATGATTATTAGTGAATTAACAGAAATTTAGACGAAGAATGAATAGTCATCATATAAGAGACGAAAGTTTCTAATTCATGCTCCAAAGGTTTACAAAATTCGCAGCAAATTTGAGTTTACTTCTGTATATGATAGTTTCTTTCTCCTTTAATTTTTTTGTTAATTCAGTGCAACTTAATTTTATCATTAGTCAATTTTAATATTTTAATATTTGTGAAACTTTCTCACTATTAAAGATTAAAATTGAAAAAATACGCAAATGTTAATGATCTAAAACATATCTTTTGACTTTGAAACATATTACACAAAAAAATAGAATGCGGAAATTTGAACTTTTACTCATTTAAAGGAATTATATATAGATGCTTAAACCACTGTGAATAATTAATTTGTTTTGTGTTTTTTGCTTCTTTGAAAATATGTAGTTTTCATTCTTCCTAATTTAGTTTTTGAAAGTTTTTTCCTTTTTTTTTTTCAAAAAACAAAAGGAAAAGTTTAAATCTTGTTTAATCTTTAAACTTTTGCAATAATTTTATCTTGGTAGATTGAATTTTTAAAATGTTGTACTAAAAAAAAGTCTATTTCAAAGTTTGCAATAGTTGATGTTGATAAAAATGTAGAGTCCCGGTTTTATGGAAAATGTCGATAAAAATATCGATGTCGATTGAATATTTGGAAAGAAACTTGAAAATCATGGCAATGGATGAAAATTGTTTAAATTAGTAAACGAGAGTTTAATTATTGTAGATTAATTAGACGATAATTGATAATTTTTTATGATCTTATTTAAAAATATAAGTAATATTTATGTTCAAATGTCCCTATCAAGAGAATTTTCGAACTAATCATAGAAATACATAGAAATTTGTGAAAATCGTTTGAATTTGTAAATGAGAGTTTAATTGTGGCTTATTTATGTTATAATTAATCATATATAAGTAAATTTTAAAATGTTGATATTGACAGAAATTTCGAGGTTTCAATTCGATGGAGCACATCTATTGTGAAATTTTGAAAAAATTGTGGAAATCA